TACTTCTCATAAGGTAGATTTCAAAGAGCCATGAGGCTACTAATCTTATCATTTCAACTCGTCAGCGTTAGGCATTCTCCATGCCAATTATTCTATTATTATAATTCTATTTATTTCACTATTGAATTAGTTTTAAATTTAAATGTTGTTACTTCCTACTTGAATTAAAATGTTGAGTGTCTGGCGCTGATTGATGGGCGAACAGAAGAAGGTCTGAGGTATATACATACATACACACACGGATCTCTATATTCTCTACAGATCCGTATGTACTATTTAAATTTAAAGAAAAAAAAATTGTTTAAAGTTTAGTTATTGGGGTAATTTATGTCGCTCTCAATAAATTTTTGCAATAGTCTTATCAACTCGAACCAGAATGGGACTTTTTGACCCACTGTTGAAAAAAATGGCTTATAGATGGTTAAAACTTCCACTAAAATATGAAGCGCCAAATTTTTCTAAGGAGAACCGAATGTAATGAAAAATAATACTAATGTTTACCATAAAGAGGGAACTTTAACCCTGTGTAGAAAACATAGCGATGCGAGGGAGCAAAACCTTCCTGGGGTTTGACCACCACTAAGGAATGCTAACGTAATTTTCACACAGCCACCTAGTACTTGTATACGTATGTGGGACCCCAGAATAAAATAACTTACGAATGTAAATATTAGCAAAAAAGTGTTTGTTTAAAATATTAAAAAAATACATAGAAAAATCAACTTGTCTTTGATTTATCTTCAATAATTGAGGAGTTAGATGCAAAGAGGCCGCTTCTATTAAAACTGCTTTCTGAGATATTGGAGCTAAAGTTTTTGATGTGTTATAAGTTTCTTGTTGTTGTAGTAGGTGTATAAAAAAGTAGTATTTTTGTAGTATAGAAAAGAATTGTCTACTGCGGAAAAAAATCGTAAGATTACCAGTATTCGACCCTAATTTAACTGTAATAAACGCTGTCGTCAAAAAATATGTTACCTATGTTTTTTCTAAGTTATGCTATTTTTGGAAAAAATAAAGGAGATCATACTCTTGTCCAGTGGCCCAAATTATGCAAAAAAACTGATTTAAAAATGTAATTTTCATTACAAGTAATATTTAGTTCCTTCAAACGATGTATTCAATGTACATACATCATGAAAATTTTGTACAAAATTCCTTAGGCGCCGAACGCCGCCGCCGCCGCCGCCGCCGCCGCGCCGATATTTTCGTAACTCGGCGGCGGCGCGTGAGGAATGACAAAAAACGGCGGCGGCGGCGGCGTGGCTCGGCGGCGTATACCTCTAGTATGTACCTACTTAAATATACTTATTGTTATTAATTTGTTATACAATTTTTAATGTAGAGCAGAAATATGTATGTATGTACATTAGACTGCATCACCTAAAAAAGTTGCGGTTTTTCCGCCGGGATTACAAAATTTATTATATTTTTAGACGTCCACCAAAATATTTCGTAAAAATATTAAGATTTAATTCAGCTGGACCGATTTGAAAATACCTCCAAAAATTAAGTTTTTTATGAATAAAAATAGTTACTTAAAGAACTTTTTGAAAAAAGTCCTATCAGATGACAAATTAGATTAATCTTAAAAAATATGCATAAAAATATTTAAAAATCTTTTGAACGGAATCGTAAGAATGAGATTTTTGATGCTGTTTTTTACATTTTCAAAGATTGATTTAGGAAAAACTTGAATAACTGGGCCAAAAATGTTCTGATTTAGACTTATAGGATCTCATTAGAAAGGTATTTTCATCCTACCTTTCTCTTCCATACATTGAATGAGTTTATTAGCAAAGAAATGAAAAGGTTGAGAAAATACATTTCCAATGTCACCTCTCAAGACTAAATCGGAAGAGTTAGGATTCAGTTATTCAAGTTTTTCTTATACCAATCTTTGGGAAAAGTTAAAAGACAGCATCAAAAATCTCATCATTACTATTCCGTTAAAATTTTTTTAAATATTTTTATGCAAATATTTTAAGCTTAAACCGTTTTGTCATTTGAGGGGATTTTTTAAAATAAAATCGTTAAAAAACTATTTTTATTAATAAAAAACTCCATTTTTGGAGGTATTTTCAAATCGGTCCAGCACACTTGAATCTTAATATTTTGCCGAAATATTTTGGAGGACGTCTTATAATATAATAGATTTTATAATTCCGGCGGAAAAATAGTACCGATTTTTTTTTTGTATGGGCAGTGATGCAGTCTAATGTACATATGTATGTGAATGGCGTGAAATATACAAACTGGCATTTTCGTGCCTTACCGTTTTTGTTTTGAAGTTCAATTTATTTTATTTATTTTATCAGATATCGACAACAAAAGCAATACATACATACCTGGCATTAAATCTTTCAAATGGTATTTATATGAATTTTCGACTAAACAGCTATAATTTAAAATTAATGTATGATAAAATTTTAAAAAATGTACTACAGTTGCGGTATTAGATGCATAAATCGTTGGGATAACTTTAAAAACATTTAAATAAATTTTGTATGATTTTATTTAAAATTGAAATTAGAGTTTAGGAGCTAATTTCAGATGAGCAATTTAGATACAGATCCGCGATTATTTTCAGAATTTTTTCGTATCAAATATCTAAACTAATTTAAGTTTGGATTACTGCCTATTTAATATGCAAAATTCAATGCTTTATTTAAATGCGCATTTATAATTAACTCAAAATTGGCCCCAAAAATTAACAAAAAAAAACAGAAAATTTAATACACAAATGTGAAAACGAGGGAATAATTGAGATTGGAACCTAAAACTGTAATAAAAAAATTTTACAAAGAAAACCAAAAAAAAAAATTAAGTAAAACATAAAAGTTAAAGATGAAACTCCCAATGCTAACAATAAAATGTGTGAACTAGTTAATTTTTTTACCGGTATATTACTTTGAAATGAGTTGCATTTGCGTAACTGACAATATTGAAAGTTATCAGAAGCTTTTTATGTTCGCATGCGAAAAGAACTTGCAAAGTAGAGGAAATTGAGTGAGCGAATTGACATTTCATTTTGAGGGTAACAACAGGTAAACAGCTGATCAAAAGCAGCTGGTTGGAATTTATGCAAATCACAAACTTTAATTTTACATTTTTTATTACATTGAGAACTAAGATAGATATCGGGATGAAATTTTATACAAATTACATTTATACAAATTACAGGTTATAAAATGTGCAAGATCGAAACTATTGTTGTTGTCCACAAAAAATTCAAATTTTAAAAACCGCCTCAAGTTCAATTAAATAGTTAAATATATTTGTGAATTTTTTGGAAAAATTATTGGTATGGAGCTACATCGGTTATGAAATTCTAGTAAAACAAGTTAAAGTTTTAAGCGGTTAAAAGCTCCCGTTGAGTTTTAAAAATGCTTGTTTTTTTTGTGATGGCTTTTGCATTTTTTTTTTTCACATAATAAGTGCAATTTATAAAAACCAACGTTGATTTTTCAGTAATAGTTCAATGGCAAAAAAGTGCATCTTGTTCGATAACTTTCGGAAGCTTTCTTCATTTTAACAATTTGTAAGGTTAACATTTTATCAGCTTCTTTTTTTTTGTTTCCTGAATTACCTTAATTAAAAAAAAACAAACGACTGAGAAAGAAATGAAAGAAATTAAAGAAATGAAATGAAGTTTTTTTTTTTCAAGAAGTTATTGAGCCTTTAAAACACTCAGTTTTCGTTGGACGCACAATTTCAATTTTTACCTTCTACTTAATATGACTTTTTGGGTACTGTTATGTTATACATACACTTGTGGTCAGCTAATTGAGCCAGCAACATTTTGATAAATTTTGGCTATTTTTCTTTTGTTTACACCATATAAATCCAGCTGAATTTTCAACTTTTTATTCAGATTTGTTAGACTTTTTTGAGTATGCAGTTTAATAGCCCATTAAATTCTAGGGTAATAATGTGCAAGTCTTAAGTTGCTAGAGAATCGCGTTGATTTTTAATAATGTTTTTTCTGACTTCATGACGCATTTTTTTTCTATACAAAAAAAAAATTGTACAATTTATTTTGTATGGAAAAAAAATTTTAATGCAGTCCCGATTTTTTCCCGCAGAAATCTGGTCACCGTATGTATGGATCATAAGAACTATAGTAGCGGAACAAAATGGCAGTAGGCATGAATGTTAAGAGATGTAGTAAGCTTCCACTTGAGCTTTTTTGTTTTAAGTGTTATCCCTAGACTCGTCGCCTCTTGCAATAACTCAATCTTCGAAATTCCCGGTGAGGTTACCACCACCGCCACCATCGTCTCTTTCACCAAAAGAAGGCCTAACCTCACCGGGATTTTCGGGAGATTGAGTTATCGCACGAGACGAAGTGTCTAGGGATAGCACTGAAAAAAAAGACTCGACTGGAAGTTACATCTCTTAACTTTAACAACAAAGCTGTCCGAAACTTTATGATAAAACATGGGGCGTATCCCACAAACTGACGTTTTGGACATTCAATGCAGTAACAAAATCGATTACTAGCACGAAAGCATTGGGGATCAGCACAGGTATAAACCACCTCTAGATACATATACTACTAATTGACCATAAAGCTTGCTGGAGCGCTTTGTGTGCATTTGAAATCGCAACCTTCAAGGGGTCTTGTTGGTTTAAAATACTTTTGTTCTATCCAGTTTGTTGACATCGTGGACGCTAACTACCTGTGCGGTATGTAATTGAGTATTTTAAACTACTGGCAAAAGCACTGTACTCAATACGCGACATCGTGAAGTGAAAAAGTAAATAATCAAGGAAAATTTTTCGTAAGCGTGAGTTCAGTGTCATCGAATCTCAAACATTCCTTGTCACTTTTGGAAAAATTCCAGACGCGGAATTTTTCCGTCTTTGATTTTATTATTACTATTTGCTAAATCGCATTTAGTGTTTTATCAAAGGATTATCGCGTTCGTAAAAGAGTGTGTGCAAATTTCTATTAAATTATACAAAATATTAATCTGCTGGTGCAAATAAAGAAAACGGTAATGGATATTTCTTCATATGGACATTTAAAAATACGCAGGAGTGCGCGTGGTAAGCGGCCCTTGCGAAATCTTACGCCCCATGACAAAATTCGAGCCATTCAGCGCATACATAAGGGCGAGACAAAGGCATCCGTTTCGCGTGACATTGGTGTGCCTGAATCGACGCTTCGAGGCTGGTGTAAAAATGAGCAAAAGTTACGTTTTATGTGTCGCCAAATGCCATCAGCTGCCATAGTACAGCGTCCAAATCTCGCACAGAGTTGTCCATCAAACGAAAAAATAAATAATTTTGACGTACAAAGTGCCTTCACTATGGACACTATGTTAAGGGATGGAATATATGATATACAAAATTTTATCGACTATAATGCTGCGAATTATCCAAGAAGTTTAAACTCTATGACGAATGACGAAAACAGCCAAAACGAAGCCATTTTTAAACAAATTACCACAAATGACTTAATAAAAAGATCCGCGCTTCCAAGCTCGGCACCAAAGATTAAAAAGCACTTTCCATCGGCGAGCGGCATGCAATCTTCATACGGCGTGGGACATTCCTATTTAAATAAAAACAACTCCTTTATATCGTCAGAAAACGCGGAACAGGTTCTAGAAAACCGCAAACCAAACATTTTCCTAGCAGAGTCCGTGAACCAAAAACCGGAATCAGTTTTAAAGGAAGTAAATTACTCCGACTCTAATAATAACGTATCTAGTTTCATAAATGATCTCAAAATGGTCGAAAATGAGCAGAAGTTTTTGGGCGTTAACTGTATAGATGATATTAATAACAACTTCTCAAAATTGGAGAAATCCGCATTTGTTGAGTATTTAAATAATGACATTTGCACAGGCAACAATACCATTAAAAATGACAATCAGCTTTCTAATATAACCACGTTGTCTCAGTGGTGCGACATTTTTAATGCAAGCTTGAGTTTCATGGCTTTACTAGCAACTTCTGCGAGCATTACTCACTTAGAAGATATCAATAATAACGATTCCCCCGTAAATCTAGTCAAAAGGCAACGTCTGGAATCTTCCACATCTACGCTGGGCTTCAAAACATTACCTTTTCACAATGATTTATCCACTGATAGTTATTATGGAAATGAACCTGAAGATCTGTCAATGCGGTCAAAAGTTTCCAAATTATCGATGTCATCTAACAGCCGTTGCCAAAGCCCTGCAAAAAACATCACGTCCATTTCTTCGACTCAAAGTGATGCTGAATCATAAAATAAAATTTTGTTATGAGTTGTACTATAGCACTTAGTCTAGTTGTAGTTGTTGTTGTGTTGTAGACACATATCTTCATTTAAATATGCAAACAAATAATTATGTATGTATATGTTAATCAAATATGATTTCAAAAATAAAATAAAAAATAAATATATATATTTGGTCCTTATTACAGAGAATTTTACCTAATAAAGGTATGTTCCAGCATTATAAAATATTTGGTTCACAAAACTCTAGATAGATTGATTGACTAATTGTACCACCAATTTGTATTTGTAAAATATTTGAATATTTAAATCTATAGCTAAATATTTTTGTGGTACATTTTTTTATGTTTCGGTACACTTATTGGTACACCAAAAAGAAGTAAGCGACAACCATACTCACACAACTACACTCTAAAGAATCTGTTCTATCGCGACTATAAATCGAGTATTTTTTTGTTTACTTTTTTAATTTTTTGTTAAATTTGCACGATTTAAACATTTTCGTGTTTAAAAATCCTTTTTTTAGCGGCTGAAATCAAACAGCAGATGTGTATTTTGTAGCTTGTACACACTTTTGTAGTAAATTTACGCAAACCACAGCAGCTATATTACACTCTAAAAAGGCAGAAATTTAAACTATTCGTTGGATAATCGAGCATGTAGTTTCGCGAATAATAAGGTAGGAAATCAGTTACCTACCTTTTAGCTACGAAATTTACACGATTTTTTTTTAGTGTGTAGGCCCATACTGGTACCGCAGTAATCCCATATCGATGTATTCGAAGTAGCTACATTAAGTTGTAAGGAATCGACTCAAGCGACACCCATCGGATACAATTTTTTGCAAATATATATTTTTTTCAAGCTATAAATTTATGCATTCATATTTCGGTTATGGGCTGAATCGAACCATAAATGCAACTTTCACAGGTCTATTCTGCACGTGACCGAAGACTTTAAGACCGGAAAATTTTTGTTACCAAAAAATGTTAACACTTCTTGTCACCGCAATTTTAGGTACGTTGGTAATGCAGTGAAAATATTCGACAATTCAGCTATGGAAATTTGTGGATGTATTGCATATTTCACTGGGCAATATTTTGTTACCAGCTTATGAGATGGTAACCAAATTTACCGGTTACAAGAGAGCACAGAATGCGAAGAGGGTTTAAAAATTTACAGACACTTTAATTACCAGTTACAAAATTTATATTACCAGCGCAGAATAGACCTGTTAGTAGTAACTCGGCATCAGCGCCATCCGACGGACAGTTTTTTTTTCAAGCAAAGGGTTCAGCTGTTCTTTGGTGATAATGTTTAACTATTCAATTAAATTGTTGATATTTTTCGTCTAATCTTATTTATACATCGATTTATTTACTCGCTTAAGTAGTTGCTAATGATAAATAGTAATCACAATTTTTTTTCTTATATCGTTTCAGGCCATTTCTTCCTTCTTAAGATAATTGGAGGGCAAAAGTCTTGCAAAAAATAAACTTCTCACATTTTATACGGTACGTCACAAAATATCTATACAATTTAATTCGTAAATACTTTAAGTTTGGCTGGTATTTATATTTTAAATTCATCAAAATCAAAGCTGCGATAAATGTAAAATGATGGACGGATTCCATCTCTTCATCATCTCTGCAGCTGATGTAGAAATCATTTTACGGGCTCCAAAACTTTTTTTCATTTTTATCATAAAACATGAATTTCTTGTAGAATAAAGTACGCAAGACCATTTGCAAAAAAATAAAAATTAAAAAATTAAATCAGCTCTAGTTTTCATAAATTGCAGTTGTTATATAAAAACAAAACCGCTAAAGCCGTCAGCAACAAAAAGAAACTTATTACAAATCAACGCGATTTTTAAGCCGCTGAAAGCTTGAGCTTGCTTTACTCGAATTTCATAAACCATGTAACTACTGCATACCCAAAAAGTTTTTAAGAAGTCCAACATTTTGATGAAAATTTTAAGAATTTTTCGCTATTCTGTATAAAGTTTGAAAATTTTCAGACAAATTAAAGTAAAAGGTCTGAAACTTTAAGAAAAAGTGTTTGCTTATTTTTTATTCATAAGGCCCATTACAAGGCGTATTTAACAAGGTGGTGTTGGCCGTATATAAGTAAAAAATTACACTAACAAATTATACGCTGATGTCCATACTGTCATTGGTATGAGTTACAACAAACACATCATTTTGACGTAATGGCCTCCACGGCGAAAAACTCAGCTGTCGCCCCAACACCACCTTGTTTAATACACCTTGGCCCATTATGTTGTTATGTGTTATTTTTACCTGAAAAACATTCCAAATATTTAATAAAAATCACCATGCACTCAGTTTTGATCTCCAGTTTATATATTTCGATTATGTTTCCAGTGATGTCCTACTTTTGTAACGTGTGGAAGAAATATTGAAAATATTGTAAGGAGTTTTTTTTACCCAAATCGGTATTTAGTCAAATTTTTCCCAGCATATTTATAAGTAATTATTAATGTACGGGATTTAAATTTTGTGTGCATTCAAATTTACCTACTTTTTCCTTTGAGCCAAAAAAGTGCTTACAGTTTTCTTTAAGTTCATACTCTTTAGTAGCATTATTAAAGTACTTTAACATTATTAAGGTACTTACATAAAAAATTTTTAATAATAAAATTGTGACTTATTCATACAAATGGGGGGAGTTAATTAATGAAGCCCCTGCCTTTTTTCCTTACACATTTCAACGCTCTCTCCGCCACACTTAAACGCATTCAAATGCCATTGTAATGGCTATTCAAAGCGGCAAAGTTAATTGAATATCGTCCAGCGTTAATGCGAGTCAAAGTCAACACAAACAGCAGTACATATGTATAACAACAACAATAATACATACACACCACAATATTTTGAAAATTTTATGATCCTCTACTCTGAGGTTGTCGTGTCGCATGCCAATACCCAATGATTTGACACTTCCAATTTTGGTAGGAGTATTTGCCGAATTGTAGCCATTGCAGCTGTCATTACAGTAAACACAAACAAAGACAGCAGCTTGAAAGCAAACAAATATATTTATATGTACATACGTATATAAATACATATATGTATGTGTATGTCAGCGTAGATTAAGTGTTGCCCATCCGCCACACACAAAACGCCAAAATGTCAGTCATCATAATCGGCATGCAAATTCTGTTGATGTTTACCCGCGTAATTGATGTGAATTTACGATTCATTTAGTCGTTTCCCTCTAGAGCTCTGGCATACATACATCTCCCCCTCGTGGCATGTCGCATACCTTCCACCCGCCTACATTCTCAGCTTACCCGCGCCATCGTTTAAATACTCGTGGATGACATTGCATATTAGCTTGGTCCATGCTCATGAATAAGCTTCAGCTGCTTTGGTAAACCATCACTCCCTGCCCTTTACTGTCTACTTTACCCGCCTATAAGCAGCACTTGGCAACTCAACTCAGACGTTTTCAAAGAAGAAGTTCTCCGCCCCAAAAAAAACACATTCGCTCATTCATTTACTTACTTTACTCATTTATTTTCGTATTTGGACTTTCGGTCCGGCCATTTCGACCTTTTTCTGGTTCTTTGGTCATTTCAACCTCGCTTTTGAAGTCTATTCATGTCAATATTCTAACACTTCAACGGCACGAACACAAAACCGGAAACAACAACAAACACAAAAACAGACCAGTGTGGCGGCCAAGGATTTTAAGTGAATCGCAACCAGCAAACAATTTTGGGCGGCATGAATGAAAAACGCGGTGGCAATTCAGTTAAAGGAAATAAATGCTTGTCTTGTTGCTATTAGATTTTTTACATCACAAAACTTTTGACTTTCATGCTTTGAGACATCATTAGGATCCACATCGCAAATGTAAGGATGCGCTAAGCTTAAATGCTTTCAACTTTATATTGCGCTTTTATTAATAAAGCCAATAGGAAAAACTTCGTTGGCGTGTTGGAAATATTATATGAACGGGTCACCTAAGATGAACTTGAAAAGATGACCTCGCTTCACCGTCTTATCATTACAATAGGGTGGAATATCAGCACAAGAAAACTGGCCATCAAGTCCAGGGCTAAAAGATACCGACTAGAATAGTTTTCGCAAAATCTATTAGCATTAATAAACTAGATAATGGAAGCCTGTCTTCTTGATAAAACTCACAATCCCGGCATCTCTTCAAAGCCTCTATTCAATGATACATCAAGGTATTCATTTCGTTAGTGGCATTTGGAGTGCAAACTTTTTCCAAGTAGTGAGCTGCACAGACAGGAGACTCTGAAGGACTCTGAAAATAAGGTTTATTCCCAATTTAGTAGAGGCCCTAACATGCCTCTAAAGAATGTGCGTCTTGTTTAAATGCTCGACAGACTGAATGAGTTTTGCATAAGGAACAGGATTTCCAGGTTTCCTCGGGAGCAATTGAGTCTGCCTCACCACAAAGAACTGTAAGAGAATGTCGGGTTATACTTTTGGTAACTATTAAGTGCCTAATAGTCCTCGTTCGGTGGGGTTCCTCTTGTGCCCTTTGACAAGGCCAAGAATTTAATGGTAATCCTGGAAAAAATCTGTCCGCGATTAACAAAGACTAAGCGAGGCGTTTAAAAGGCACCAATTGCTCTATGCGGCTGGAAAATCCGCGCTAGTTCAGACGATGGAGCAAGTACAAAAAATCGCTCAACTGGTGCCAAGGACCGCTCCTGCTCTAGAGTTTAATGTTATGCACAGCGTCGTATCAGTGTGTACCAAGGTTGACTTTAATTGCATCCTTATCAACAAACAATCTTTGAAGGGTTAATAGGAGAGTGAGACCATTTCGAATATAGGTCAAATAAACATATTCACGGATGAGTCGAAATTTGATGATAGAGTTAAAGGAGGTTCTTTTTATCAGGCACGCTCAGCTAACCTCAAATGTAGGCATCCATATTTCTACGTTGCAGCGTCTCGCCAGCAGGGTTGGCCGCTATAAATAGAACAGGCGACTGCCTACGTGCTA